GTTGAGGTGACAACTTCTATTGGTGGAAGAGACAAGATTCTTCTGTGTACCTCGCACACGTCTATCTAGTATCCTGGAACCAACATTGCAGCAGACTAGAATATAAGTTTTGTAACTTGATCCTAAAAGCAATTCACCAAATGGATATTTTTCTTAACTATGGAAATCAAATAATAACCATGGCCCACTGAAAAAATGCTACTCTCTCCCTAATATTGAAATATAAAATACAGCAAATATAATTATTTCTTGCTATAATGTAGTTTCCTATCTTTCTGCAGTACATTTGCATCATCTAGTGGACATCTACAGAAATTACACTAATTTCATGCAGTTCAATCAGTATTGTGTTTTTGAACACTTTTGTGTTTGTTCTGAACTTAGCACATTGTGTGGTTAGCAGAAACAATAAATGAGAGACTGTGTTTCACATTAATTCTTTGCTTACTGGTATATTATGACTAATGGCAAAGTAGGAATTTCTGGGCATTCCAGTCAAAATGAGAATGCTCTTTGATTTTGTGTCCTGTGCTGATTGGCTGTTCACTCTAACCCTCCCCTTCCCTCTGCAGGTCTCTTCACCTCCGCCTCTCAACACCTGCCCCTTCTACTCTCTCCTTCCTTTCTCTGTCCATTTGGCTGATCCCCTCCAAAGTAAATCCACCAACCCATCTCTCTCCAAAAACTTATGGAACTAACATATGCCATTTGCTGTCATCACACTGTTCACTCTGCTTGTGTGTTCTACCCCTTCCCCCACCATGACTATGTTGTCTATTTGCACAGTATTGCCTCAATTTCCTTGTATTCCCTCATCTGCCTGTATCTAGCTGTCAGCTCATTTTCTATACGCAGATTGTAATGTTCTTGGGGTAGGGACTGTATCTTTGTTCTGTGTGCAGCACCTAGCACAATGGGATCCTGGTCTGTGACTGGGGCTCCGAGGCGTTATGGCAATATAGAATACAAATGGCTAATAATATAGAACTTCATTGCAGGGTTTTAGACATCCTAAAGAATATTAAAATATAAAACTCATGGGAATTATGTGATGATTTATTTCCATTTCAGTCTATGTGAATTCATATCATCTCAGTTTGGGTTTTAGATATGACTAAAATCAGTCACAAATGCCAAGATTCTGTTGGTTTCATGTGGAAATGATGACACACTATGAATTCCACATGATTTTGCTGCAAAAATGAACACAGGGGTAGGTTGCAAAGCGTTCAGCAAACTTAGTCCAAGTGTACTGTGTAATTAAACAAACCAGGCAGATTTTATTGCAAACCTTTACCAGCATTCTGTTTATTATGTTCATCTATAATTATAGATGCACTGTGTGCTTGCAATCACTTCAGATAATTCCCAAGGACCTTCTTCAAAAAGATTTTATATTTGCAGGGAATGTTCAACCTTAGAGGGGCAATGTATCCTTGAAGACATCACTTAAAGATCTCTTCCTTAGGGAGTGTCATTTTTGAAATGTTTTCATAGTGTACTTAAAGCTTTAATTAACAGGGCTTGAGAGCTGATGCTATCTTATCTTGTTCTGGTCAGTTAGGTCTAAAACACTAAGAAATTATGAATGTTCTCCACCCTATCGCTGAAGAAATATGAAAACTAGAAGCCACTCGCCAGAAGAGATCAAAGAAAATCCATAGGATGTTCACTGTAAAGTGAGGTTCTACTCTAAAAAGTGCCTCAGGTTAGATGGCATTGTAGGCTGCCGTGTTTATAATTTTTCAGTGACTCCAGATTTCATTTGTTCAGCTGACAGAAACGCCCCCCCCCCCCCCCCCAAATGCCAGCTCTGCACCTTAGAATGTGAGAGTCAAGCTGGGTTATTTCTTGTCTTATGTATTGCCACCAGCAATGAAGATTCTGCTCCTGCTGCTGTTACACCTATGTAGACCTATAGTCTTCTCTGTAGTTGCACAAGTATAACTGAAGGCAGAATGTAGCTCTGTATTTTGGACTTTAACTGTTCTGCTGATGCTAAGCAAGTCAGAATAGAATATAGCTCGCTTCCCCCAAATCTATATTGGTGCTGCATCACTGACAGGAGTAAAATGTAGTAAAAACATAGTGGTGGTACTAAAGTTTGCAGATCTGCCTTGAACACCCACAGGGAGTAGATCTGTGGAATGAATGAGAATGGGCTATTTTTACAGTGTCTCTTTTCACAGTAGAACTACACTTAAATGACAAACTGATTAAACTCTTTGAGGCAAATGTTAACTAACAGCAAGTTACTAAAACTAAACTACTAAGATAACAAGAGTCCTTTTAAGCTTCTAGAATGAGAGCTAGAGAAGCTAAGAATGTACAAAGGTGGTTAGGTAAACCATCTTAGGATGCCTTAGCTCAGATGTATTTTAGGCCCTGATTCAGCAAACCACTTAAGCCCTATTGAAGTTTTACACATGTGCCTAAGGGTGCAATTCAGCAAAGCTGACGTTGAAGTGTAGTAAACAGGCACGGATAGTGACTTCATAGTTGAGGGTGGGGCAGGATTTTGCCTTTGACATTAGTCCACTGTCAAACTGTAGTGCATTCCTACAAGTCCAAGGCCACCTATCATACCTAGAGAAATGGAAATTGCTCTAAGCACAGCAGTCTTAATTACAGCCCCATATCACCTCAAAATAATCTCTAAACCCCTCTGTGTCCAACTCTGTAAAACACTGCTATTAACTATTCAACATACGCAAGGCCAGATCTTCAGCTGGTCTACATTGGCCTAGTTCCATTAACTACATAGAAATATGCAGATTGATGGCAATTCAGGGTCACATCCTACGTTCTCTAGGGATAATTTTATTAAATGAAACTAAGCAGATAATCAGTTCCTGGCATTAGTCACAGCTCCTCAGGCCAGCTCCTCAGCACCAAAGTTCCCTTTGAACCGCCTCTGTGTTACAAAAAGGATCTACATGAGCTATTGAGAATTTCCCTGGCCTAGGAGAATCTTAGCATATCCTGCTTCACACCACCCCTTCTCAACACTCCGGGGACAGTGGGCTTGTCAGAGCAGGGACAAGCATGGCTGGAGCTCGCTACACTCTGGCCCTTCCCCAGCTGCTGTAAGGGCCCCTAGGACATGTTACACCACGGTACAACTGAGAGTGTAAAATCCTGGGAGTGATTTGTAGTGACTCTTGCCATCACTTCAAAGAGATTAAGTTATTTTAAAAGTGTTTAATAGATGGGCTTTTCTGATGTAACTAAAATATACGTACGTTCAGTTTTTTTATTACCTTATTATTTGTATTACCGTAACATCTAGGAGCCCTAGTCATGGCCCAGGCTCCTATTAGGTGTGCTAGGAGCTGTTCAAACACACAATAAAAATAGAGCCTTATGTTATTTTTTATACCATAGTTCATTTTACATATGACTAACATTATAGTAAGACTTCCTTACAAAATGCAGTGTGAGGCCACGAGCTCCCGTAACATAGCAGGCCAAGAGCAATTGGGTACAAAAAAAGGGCAATAAAATAGCAATAAGCTCCCTTCCCAGATAGTCTCTTTTATTTACAACATCATCTAGACTGTTCATCCCATTTCAGTAATTATCTGACAAAAATAAAATTCTCCCTCAACCCATCTTTCCAAATGCCCAGGTGAACAGAAGAGTCTTGAAGCATGATGGGAAGATTAATAAATTCAGGCGTTGGTGGACCAAGTGTGGTTGGCGGGGGAAGCAAATTATAGAGGAGAGAGACCTTCTAAGAGAATGCCCTCCTGTTTAAAATGAAAGAACTCTAGCTCCGGTACCTCTGTTGATCTGAACTGTGGCGGTGTAACACTTAAGGTATGTCTACATGCTGCCATAAACGTAGAGACACTGCATGCCCTGCTAGCACACATATAAACAGCAGTGTAAATGAGGAGGAACTGCTTAGGCGAGTAGAGGTTCCTACACACTTGAACCACACGGTATATACACCCAACACAGGCTCTCTACACACCCACTTCTATGCTGCTATTTTTAACAGTGTTCGAGCCTTTTCCGTACACAGTGAGAGGCTCAAGCACCAGGGAAAGATTCCAGCAGCTTCTCCACTGCCAGAGCCTTTTCCCACTCCCTGCTGCTGGAGACTTTCACTGCTGCCTGTAGCTATACCCCACAGCAACAAGTGTATATACAGCTTGCCTTTCACTGCAGCATGCAGCTACACGTGTAGTGCCTGTACTCCACAGGCCACAGACATATTCTTTGAGAGGCAATCTGTCAGGCAGTGTTTCTAGTGGGGTTTTGCAGGGATTGCAACTAGTCCCAACGCTAGTCAATATTTTCATCAATGATCTGGAAGTAAATATAAAAAAAATCACTGCCGATAAAATTTGCACATGACAACAAGATTGGCATAGTGATAAATAATAATGAGGATAGGGCAGTCATGCAAAGTGATCTGGATTGCTTGGTAAAGCTGGCCCCATTCAAACAAAATGCATTTTAATACAGACAAATGCAAAGTTACTAGTAGGAATAAGGGGAAGATATTACCTCTGTACACAGCATTGGTGAGACTGATGCTAGAATTCTGCCCCTACAGTTCTGGTATCCACAATTTAAAAAACAATGTAGAAAATTTGGAGAGGGTGCAGAAAAGAGCCCCAAAAAGTGATTCAAGGGCTGGAGAAAATGCCTCACAATGAGATACAATGAGAGCTCAATCTGTTATGCTTATCAAAAAAGATTGAGAGGTGACTTGATTACAGTGCACAAGTTCTTTCATGGGCAGAAAAGACTGGGTACTAATAGGGTCTTTAAACTAGAAGAGAAAGGCATAGCAAGAACCAATGGCTTGAAGCAGAAGCTAGACAAAATTCAACTTGGAAATAAGGCACAAATCTCTAGCAGTGACTGTGGTTAACCACTGGAACCATGGGTGGATTCTCCATCTCTACTGTTTTCAAGTCAAGACTGGATGCCAAAGTGGAAGTTAGACTTTAGTCAAACAAGTTATTAGGCTCAATACAGGGGTAACTGGGTGAAATTTAGAGGCCTGTGATATACAGCAGGTCAGACTAGATGCTCGAAGTGTCCCTTTTTGCCTCTAACTCTGAGTCAGCCAACTCCCAAATTGTACAGGCCCTGTGCACATGACAGTTTTCAACTGACTTTGTAGCCATTTATCTATGTCCTTATACCGATCCCATAGCCGTGGAACCTAAGATATCCTCTTTCCTTTCCTTTTCAAGCTTTGCCCATCACCTCACGTATCTCCCTTGACCAAGTCTACCAGGGTATTAGTAAATTGTTGACATGCAGCAGATCCATACTAGAAAACACAAAAGTGAGAGACTGAGGGCCTGCAGGAAAGCACACAAAAAATAATAAGATACAAGACCATTCACACAGGTATGGCCCTAATGTCAATAGTTACCCTAACCCTCCGACAACTATGAAGTGCAGCCAGATCGATCAGGAAAGGCAAAAAGGGGACAGGAGAGGGAAGTTTCTCCATGTGACAACCGGGACTGGTAGAAAGCATCAGAGTGAATTTCCTGAATAGCCAACATGCAAACTATTACAACACCACAGCTCAAAATAACTCAAGCACATCTGTTTATTGTTCAGAGGAGGAGCAATAATCACATAGGCTAGCAACAATCTGGAAGAGTTTTTTTAAATGGGGGGAGGGAAATCTACACTTCTGCATGACGGCCATCACCCGAGCCTCCAGCATCAGTGTACTATACATGCATTTGGGTTGGGCATTGGATGATTGTTTTTGAGTCATTGTGGGGCTGACATGGCCTGTGCTCCAGACCTTATATAATCGTCCCAGCAAAGTCCAGGGACCATAAATGAGATACAAAAGGGTCAGCAGAGGATGGCCCTCGCACACAAATAACATAGGGTGAGGCAAGTAGCTCTGCACTGCCCTCCCTTGTAAGTCACAAAAGTAGGGACATACCAGGGAGTAGCTGCTTGGCACTATGGAAATTCTGGACTATAATCCAGTCCCCAGGCAGATGAAGTTCCATCAGCCCCTGGGACTGCTCTAATTATTCCAGCTGTTTTGGTCCCCACAGCAGCACAGAATCTAGATGACACAAAGGTGACAAAGCCACTCTTGCCCGCTGCATTTTCTAGGCTGCGCCTCTCAGGAGAAGAGGCACAGAATATGTCCCTATGGCTGATGTCAACACCCATAAATGAAACTGGACAGCTTTTCCACCATAATTTTACATTATTCCTTGATGCTACTGGTCATCAAAAATGTTTGGGTCAAGCAGGCCTCTAGCTCCTTGTAAGCGAAAGCCACTGTGCTGTGACAGTCATGGTCTGCTTTCTGAACAGGTCAAGTTACTGCAGTGCGCAAGTTGTACAGAATTTCTGCTGATGTTTGCAGGATCGTCAGATCTTCCAGGCGCAGTACTTCTACCAAAGCCAGCTGGTTTTCAAAGTTCACCTTGTCCTTTTTCATTTGGGAAATCTGAAGTGTATAAAAACCAAGAGGATATTTAAACTCAGTAATAAAAATAGATGTAGCCCATAAACAGACATTTGCGACAAGTTAATTTGTGCCAGAGGTAAGTGGCATCAAAATGTGTACTAGTTACATTTTACGACTTCTCAAGAAAACAGAATTAGTGGCAAAATGAAAAAGCGTTTATTCAAAATCCACAACACAGACAGAAAATATAGACTAAAAAGTCAACATTAAGAAAAAGTCAGGCTCCTCGTTGAGTAGCCCAGTGTTCACAGGAACATAGGAATTGCCAGACTGGATGAGACCCAAAGTCCATCTAGTCCAGTATCCTGTCCGCACCAGTGGCCAGCACCAGAAGGTTCAGAAGAACCCTACAGACAGTAAGCAGATGTTCAGCAATCTGCCCCCTACAGTAGGTCAGAGATTGTGAGCCTAGTTATATTATAGTCACTAATACTACTCAGCTACTCAAATTTCCACCACAACTTCAATAACCACCCCCCATCCATCAAACGCTCTCTAAAACACAGCCACATCAGCATCAACTTTCTGGACACCACAATCAGCTTCAATAATGGACTCAACTAGTTACTTCATGAATTAGCTCCCATGGTTGAGTTAAGACAAAGTCAAGAACAGCCTCTAGAACTGGCTGTTATAAGAAGCAAACACTTAATGGATCAAAGTTTTGACACAAGTACTCAGCACTGTCCCATTGTGCCTTTTGAACAGTTAATATCTGAACTTATATAACTGAAATTTCCCACTGTCATCATTTCGTTACACTTGTCTGCCTCGGATTTCTCTCAACATTGTCTATTCAGTTTCCTTTTCCTGATCTCGAGGACAGTAGCATAGCCCTACTAATATATTTACATTCTTACCATTTGGAATTTGTATCCATATAGATTCAACTGTGTAGTCCTCTCCCCTCTTAATTTTTTCTAGCAAGATTCAATGGAATCCTTTATATAGAGAGCTATTCCCCCACTTCTTCAGCCTAGTCTGTCTTTCCTGTATAGTTTGTAACAGGTATTCCCATATCCCATTGGTTTTTAATCATTCCACCACAGTTCTATAATACCTACTACATCAAGGTCCTCTTCCATTGCCAGGCTCTAGTTCACTGTTTTTGTTTTTAAAATTCTTGCATCCCCTCTGTACAGGTTCCCCCTTCCCAAAAATGTTCCCCAGAACCTAAGCTGAAACCCCTTTTCTATACACCATGTTCTCAACCACACACTGAAATTGGAAGGACTTCAGGGAATGCTCCCCTCCCCCAGATCTGGACCTAAGCCTTCTACCTAGCAGTCTAAATTTAGCTTCCAGAACTTCTCTCCTATGGCTCCCTATGTCATCAGTACCAACATGTACCACCATCATAGGCTCCTCCCCGGCATTCACCAGAAGTCCATCTAGAGTCTTGTAATATCCACCACCTTTGCAACTGGCAGGCAAGTCACCATGCTGTTCTCTCAGTAACCACATAACTAACTGTCTATTCCTGATGATCTAATCCCGTACCGCTGCCTGTAATTCCATCCCCCGAAGCAACCTCTTTGGTGCCTGAGGAATTGTTCATCTCCACTATTGCAGTGGGAAGGAAATCCCATCTAAGAAGGTGTGTCCTTCCATTTCACCTAGGTGCCCTTCCATCAGAAGATTGGCTTCCTCAACTGGAAGCTCAGGGAAGTCAGTTCTGAGGCGGGCTTGCTCTACAATGTCCCTATATGCCATGTCTATAAACAATTCTGTCTCTGCTCCTCCAGTTCAGGCCTAAAGAAGCTGTACCTAGCCTCTGAGGGCCATGAGCTGCTTGAACTGTGTGCGTACATGTTTTCTTTGCTGAGGAAGTATTTTTATAACCATTTTCCATTATAATATTCTTAACAGAGGTGCATTTTGTTCTCAGGGGAATAGTGGTAGCTAAAATAAGCTCACAGGTAGTCATTTTATTTTACTGTAGGCAATTATATATGGCACATAGGTCTATAGTAGCGTAGACACTGAGTAGGTATTTTGATCTGTTGTATTTTTAAATGACGTTTATATTAACAAGAGCTCAAAAGCAGCTTTGTCAATAGGACATTGGTAGTGCAAGACACCCTTACATTCGCCCAGTCTAGCCACAGGGTGACAGTTCAGTCATTTCTTTGTGTGTGTTGTGAGGCCCTAAGCAACACTGAGGAAGTGCGTGCATGAGATAGATGAATAAGTCTGGGCACTGACAATGTTATCAGTCAAAGGGCAATGGGCTACCAGTCATATTCAGGGAAGTGGCTGGGCCTTAACTGCCTGAGAACCTCTGTGACACACTGACTGTTAACCCAGATAAGGTTTTGGGGGGAAGTACGTGGACTTGTAGTTTAAGATAGATGTGGTGATAACACTGCTCGCAGGAAGGAAGGAAGGCCCCAAAAGCGAACCAAAGATTAAGCCTGACCACCCTCAACAAGGACTGGACAACGCAGTAGTTGGGGTCACCAGCGTGGTTAGATGTTCGGCTGCGTATGTGTGTGTTTTCTGTGTGCTGCCCCAGCTCTGTGCAGACAGCTGGCACAGCAGACCTCGAACGAACCGCCCAATGACCACAAGACCCGTGAAGGTATGAAGGCATCAGGCCAGATTTATTGTCGACAAAACACAGTACTAGTATCCCGCAGACTCTACCAGACCACTAATGCACGTATGCCCGTAACAATGGGCAGCTCAGTGAACGGAGGAACATTCCATTCCTCCCTAGGCCAGACAAAGATATTCCCTCTGAGATACATCTTTATACCCTGATACAAACAAGTTAGTACTGCCCCATGGTTAGTTACTGCCCCTTGATGTGGCTAGTTATCACCCATCACCTTGTACATGTTGGTTCAATCAATACATCTCTATTACATACTGTCATACTGATCTTATCTTTTAGAAGGGGTCAGTGTGTTGCTGTTATTCTTGGGGAATGTTTTTGTACCATCCTTGATATCGGAATATTCTGGTACCACTTGATATTGGGATGTGTTTGCGTGAGTACTCTGTGCTTAGCACTTTTGAAATATGTATTTTTGCAACATTAGCCCTGTTCTTGCCAGATACTGTAAGCAGGCTTATGTCTCAAGCTCTCTTCCTACTACAAGAGATATGGAACCTGTGATCTCCCATTTGCTCGAAAAAATCTCTGGGAGGTACTATGAGGCATTACCAACCTTAAAAAGCCAAGTGTGCTGCTTCATGGGTCACCACAAAGACACCCAGATGGCGAATACCCTACTTTCCCTGGGCCAGTCCCCAGAAAAGAGGAGAGAGATTCTCATAGACCAGCCAGCTGACCAGAGGATGACACATGCTATCTTAAGATATCTGAGCCAAAAGACATCATCTCGTTCCCCAAACTGCAGTTCCTGACTGACTCTGAAGCTTCACGGAGTAAGCAAGCCGAAGAGTACATCCTTTAAGTATTTTTCTCTTTTGAATTCTTTTCTAAGATAACTGCGGGGATGCCTGCAACTAAGAGAGTTTTCCTAACCATTTGTTGGGGGGCGAAGGGGGAGAATTAGTAGTAGAAGTAGAATCACATGCTGATAAATCCATATAAGAAAACCACAACTGGACTCAGACTAACCTAAATTCTAAGCAAATCCTACCACAGATCAAAAGGGGTCATCCTGGGTCTGTAGAGGTGTTAGCATAAACCACTCTGCTGGAGAGAGGAATCTTGAACTGCTGATTCCACTGTACTGAATGTAGAGAGATGAGAGTGGGAGTCACGTCCACGCAATAGTGGCACAGCACCGCAGCTGTACTACTGTAGCACCAAACTGTAGACACTTCCTGCGGCAACAGGCGGGTTTTTTCTGAGAAGTAGTTAACCGACCTCTCCAAGAGGTGGTAGCTAGCTCAACAGCATTCTTCTGCTGACCTAGCTGCATGTACACCAGAGATTAGGTTGACCTAATTACGCTGCTCAAGATGCAAACATTTTTCACAGCCCTGAGTGACATCAATCTAATTTTTAAATGTAGACCAGTCCTGAATAAGCCATTAAATGATTGGCTCTCCAAGGATATATTAATACCTGTAGGGCTAAGGCGGGGCTAGGATGTGTGTGTGTGTGGATTCATTCTGTTATATTGGTTTAACGATTTGACTACAGATCATGTTCCTACAATGATTTGATCAGTTGAACATAAGAACGGCCACACTAGGTGAGACCAATGGTCCTGCTAGCCCAGCATCCTGTCTTTTGACAATGCCAGGTGCTTCAAAGGGAATGAACAGAACAGGGCAATCATCGTATGATGCGTCCCATTGTTCAATCCCAGCTTCTGCCAGCCAGAGCCATGGGGTTGCATCCCTGACCATCTTGACTAATAGCCATTGATGGACCTATCCTCCATGAAATTTGTCTAGTTCTTTTTTTAACCCAGTTATAATTTTGGCCTTCACAACATCCCGACAAAGAGGTCCACAGGTTGCCTGTGCGTTGTGTGAAGAAGTACTTCCTTATGTTTGTTTTAAATCTGCTGCTTTTAATTTCATTGTGTGACCCTGGTTTTTGTGTTATGTGAAGGATTAAATAACACTTCCTTATTTACTTTCTCCACACTATTCATAATCATATCCCCCTTTAGTCATCTCTTTTCCAAGCTGAACAGTCAGTCCCAGTCTTTTTTTTGATTGATTCTCAATCTATTTTCTTGTCAGGTTATTGATGTCAATTTATGCTATTGTTATTCCCTTGATTCATCTGAACTCCAGTGTAACCTCAATTTTATTATCACATTGTTTTAGGGAAATGCAGTAAGTTAGCTAGCTTTGTATTTGCTTATTTATTTTCTCACTTAATTCATAAAAAGTACACCTAATTGGTTTTCCCTCATCACATCAGATGGCCATGAGGTACACAACACCAGATAAAGGGATATGATGGCCACTACGCTGCTCCTGAGTTAAAGCCTATTGCCACTGCAATAAGATTACTGCATGCATTTTTAAAGAAAATCATTGTAACCGTTGGGCCATTTTCTGATCTTAGTTATACTGGTGTAAATCCAGAATCACTTTAGTGCAGTCAATAGCAAGGGGCTTTTTTCATTTGCCACCTTATGCTTTACCAAGAGTTCCTAATCCAAAACCCACTTGAATTAAATGGAAATAATCCCATTGATTTAAGGTCCATGTGCGTAATATATATCGAGATATTCCAAAAAAAAGTGACAGTCCCCTCCAACTCCCCCAAAGCAGGATAAACCCTAAACTAAGGTACGCTTACTGCACCAGGAGCTGATCCCAGTTATAGTGGTGTAAATCTAGAGTATATTATGCCTGAAGCACACTTTGAATAGAAAATAAAAGGCACCCTGCCCACAAAAATAAGCACTTAGCTAACGCCAGAAATAAGCTGATAATTGTAGGTCAAACCATTGCCTGTGAAACACACAGAGCCAGATGCTACCCTCATTTACATCACTGAAGTCAATGTTGTTACTACCAATTTATGCTAAGTTGTCTACGCAGTACTGTAGTCTGCACTAGAGGGGTGCAAACTGATCTGTGTTGGTGCACACTAAAAGTTCCCTAGCATGCGTTAACTTAGTCCTGTTTCAAACAGCAGTACATTAACATACACAGGAACTTTTAGTGCACACCAGCAGAGTCCACCTGGGCCTGTCAGTGCGCAACATGCTAGTGGGGACTAAAATTTACAGCCCTCTATTGCAGACTACAGCACCACGTAGACAAGCCCCTTGGGGGCGTCTGCCCCGTTGTATTCTTCTAGCCAAGTTACCTGGTGAAGGACGTGCTGTGTCTCCTCTATTAAAGAAAAGCATATTTTTGCCGCTATGTTCAAACTCCTTTCTTCATTTCTGGCTGAAATTATATCACCAAGCAGCACTTTCTTCCAGTAGGTACTAAAGCAAAAAAATATGTTTAACAAGCGATTATTTGTTGCATTCCCCAGCCAGAAGTTAAACTGAAGTTATACCCCCAAATAAATAAAATAAATAAAACCCTGACAGATAACTAAGTCAAAGTTAACACACACACAGAAAAAAATAAAAAATAAAAAATAGACCCACAGCACTCAGTTACCACAGTGATGTGCATGTTTAAGCCGCTGAGTAGCACAGAACACACACTGCATGGTATGGAAGACTGATGGGTCTCAGTATCTTTCAGTTACTTTAACATGTTCTGTCCAGGACTAAACCCTCACAGCATAGATGAGTGTAAATATTTTTCCTTTTAATTTTAAAACGTATTTGATAACTGACAACGCTCATGTACCCATCTGCAAACAATGCCAAGCTTTTGAAGGCCAAATTCACTGCTGAAATAAGCACAATCAATTTTGTGACATCAGTGCTGAACCTTTGTACTTCAGCATGAACTTGGCCCTGAAATTTCAACAGTAGTCCCTGAAATGTACTTTTCAGAGAAATCAAACTGATGTCTGAGTTCATGGGACCCATCAAAGTGACAAATGTAAGAAACAGAAACTGAACATTAAAGCAATATCCAGTTCTTGGAGTAGGAAGGGAACAACAACAGAATGCTTGGTGTTTAACTGAATCGAGTTGTCATATATGCAACAAGCAGACAACGACTTTTAAATTATATATTGTTCCAAATCCTTCTTGCCTTACACATGAGTAGTCTTACTGAAGTTCGAGATAATCACACAAGTATGTCCAATGTTACCATCTCTACACCTCAGTTAGTGTGAGAAGACACAGATTAGAGGGATAGAAGAGGCATTATTTTCTAAATAAATGACCACATTTCTGTAAGTGTATTTGAAACTTACAATTCATCTGTTCCAAGACATAACAACTTGAGAGCTGTGAGGAGTCTCCATGATGGCCCATCCCTTCCAAATGTCAAATTTCTAAAAGTGTCAAAAATTACCAAAAGGTAGAAAGCATGAGCTCATTACACAGTTTGTCATCTTCACACTAACAGTAACTGTGGCAACAAAACGGCTGCCTTGTGGCAGCCTCCTCCCACCCTAGGACACAGTTAAGGAGAAGCAAATCCATAGTCCATGTGGGAACTACACTGTAGCATCTAGGGGGAAAGGATTCTCCCCAGCTTCCTTTGCTCTGCTGCTTCCCACAGCCTTAGGACAGGGTGGTCCAGATTGTCTTGTGCTGACCCCTAACCCTGATCCTTAGCTTTCATATTGTCTTTTATCCACTTAAATTCTCTTCCACTATCAAGGAGCTAAACAGAATACCTATATTTTTATAAACCAATTTTTTTGCAAGTTTAAAAAAAAAAAAAAAAAAAGCATCTTAACTTTTATTTCAGTTTTGTTGTAACTATTTTCTCAAATGGAAACCAGGGTTTTAAAGAGATACCTACTCTAACAAGTTATGATCCTTTAGAATGGAAAGCTTCATATTTCTCTGCTTGTCTGCTGAAAAGAGATGTTTAAGAAGGATATCTGCAAAACACATATTTAAAGATCCTTAAGCAAACAGTTAACACTGAAAATAAGCTAACTTGAACTGTATTTTCTTATATTTTAACTATAATTAATCTTCCAACTGAACAGTACGCAAAGACCAGCTCAGATAATGTCAAAACTTTAATGACCTTTACCTTGAGTTGAAGAACCCTCTGAAGAGCACTCAGCAACTTGCAGGACTGAACCCAGAGAGTGAGTTCATTCTGGCATTTCCTAACTTTTGAGTACTTGACCTAGCAACCTTAATAATGTTCTTTTAACACAATTTTTGACATACAGTCAGTTCTAAAGCATCAAGAGCCAGATGCTCAGCTGGTAAATCAACATAACTCCACTGAAGTAAATGGAGCTGATTGATACAAGCTGCAAATCTGACTTTAAACAGCCTCAATGCTTTATAATAAAAATGTAACTTGTCTACTGCATACTCAATTCCAAACAGCTGTCTCTCTCTTCACATGCCTATATAAGCAACCAAGTCCCACTGACAAAAAAACAAACATAAAAAAAATCCACTTCCCAAGCTATTTTTTGGCTCTCCAATCAGCTTGTTGGCCAACTCATAACCAAGTCTTCACCACTTAATTATTAATTTTCTATAACAATGACTGGGCTGCCTAATAGCATGGGTTTCTCTTATTGTGGTCTTAGTTCAGCAATGCACTTAAGCACATGCTTAACACTAAGTTTAGCAGAATTGGGGCCTCTAAGAATGTGAGCATCCTCTCTATGAAAAGGCTCCATCAATATTTAGTGTGATACAGATGCACGCACACACACACACACACACACACACACACACTTGAGAGAGGGTAGTTTGCAAAAATCTCCCAGCATTTCCAGTTCCATCCTTAAATTATTCTCTAAAGCCACAATCCTGCAAACACTTAAGCACATGCCTAAATTTTACTCGCATAAGCAGTCCCATTGAAGCTAGTGTTGCTACTCTTGTGCTTAAAGTTAACCAAACACATAAGAGTTTTCAGAGTAAAGCTAACTAAGTTTCATAGTGTAACAAATGAAACCTGAGCAAATCCAAAAAAATGAAGGCCACTTACACACACACACACACACACACACACACACACACACTCTCTCTCTCTTTTAGTTAAAAATCCCTATTAGGTGTAGTTCAAAAAGGCAAAAATGGAACCAAGTCAACCCTATATTTCACTTTAATGCTGCTAACAAACCCTAAATTGATCATATATGGCGACAGCCTAGTGCAGAGTGAAACTATGTAAGCTTCCTCACTGCCCCTCAATTACCATATTTACCCAGATGAAGAGATAAAGCTGCCTGGCTCCCTAGTATTTCACATTTTAATGTCAAGATCAAGCTACCAACCTGCTGAGACATAAACCCCACTCTGTGGGTTGTTGATGGCAACGAATCCATATTCTAGCAGAAGTCGCTGGTTATCATGAGGGCCGTAACAGATAAACAGTTCTTCATGTCTTCTGCAATGTGACTCTGTCCTGATTTCATAACATCTCGTCTGCTCATTAAATGCAGCTTTTACCTTTGAGAAATTTTAAAAAGACATTTCCTCTGTGGCAGTGAAGGGAAAAAACCCATCAGACCTAGAATGATAAAGACCAGTAATATTTCCTTACTGTGGCAAAAGGGTATAAACATCTAGGACGCAATGATGAAATATGTAAAGTGATTTTGAAGAGGGATTATCTTTGTTGCACTTAGGACCTTATCTGAAGAAAGAGGAAAAATTCTCTGAAATACTAAAACAGAACAAACAAAAAATCCTTGGGTTCAAGGCTGTGCTGCCTCCAGGAGGCAGAGCACAGAAGGGGAAGCGGGAACAAAGCTAGCTTTAAGACACCTTTGTGCTACCCTGACTCTGTGCGGTCACGTGAGTCAGTGTGGTCCCTGGCATAAATCAGAGCAACTTCATAGGCAGCCCTGATGAGGTTGCCATAGGCTGCTTGAAGCCTAGTACCAGGCACTCTAGAAACCACATGCCCCCTGCACTGTGCCTTGTGAGGGGGTAATACAGAGCTGCTTACAGGGGCCCTCTGCTGGGGACAATTCTCCCCAAGCCATTTCTGGACACATGGGCCAAAAGCATAAGCATGTGACTCACTGGCTGGCACACCCCCTAGTGGCTGGGGCATGGTGTAAAGGCTTTCCTCCTTTAGCGCCCCCTGCTGACAGCCATTCCACCCCTACTGTGGTCTGCTTCTTCATGCCATTCAGCCCCCCTCCTTCCAGCTCATGTAGAGTCCCACTCCTCTCAGGGTAAACCAGCTTGTGGTCCTTCGACTTCATGTTGGACAGTGGTCTGAGTCCAGACTCACCAGTCCTCATCTCTAGTATCAGGAGAGTTCAGCAGTTCTTACTCTTTGGGGAGAGAGGGGGGGCACCCCCTCTTCCTTGGTGAGCTGGTAGAACTCAGGCCCTCCCACTCCACTCGGTCCAGACCAAGGACCCTCATTACACAGTCAAGGCCCTGGCGGTCTCCTGGGCCACTTCTTACCTTATCCTGTCTTAGCCCTTTATCTCAGCCTCTTCCCAGGCTCCCAGCATATCAGCTCCACTCTAAGCCGCTTCCCAAAGGGTCACTGCAGGGCTTCTTAGCACTTTCTGCTACCCAGCTGGGTCTGCTGCAGAGGGGTTTTCCTCCACTCCCCTGGCAGGGCAGTCCCGGACTCAGCAGGAGTCTTCCTGCTCCTTGAAGGACCCTCCACCACAGGGGAGAAACCTGGGAGGACTCACCTCCTGCCACTTTCTTTCTCAACTACCTAAGTTTCCCCATTGCAGAGGTGCCTTCCTTCAGAGAGGCTTTGTCTGCCAGCAACCCTACTCAGCTCCCTGACTCCAGCCAGGCTTCTCTCACTGAGTGAGAGCCAGAAATCTGCTCTCCTTCCAGGCCTTTTAACTTCTCCTTCAGGTCTGACACATACTGCAGGTGTAGTGGGGTGAGGCTGATTGTGCCCACAGGCTTTCATTAATCCCTTCAGGCTGAGTGTGGGGTTGCTACACCTCATCATACCAGGGTACTGGAGGCAGGCAGAGGCGCGGAATCCTTTCCCCATCCTTATTTTGCCACTTGATTCATAAAATCAATTCTATTTGTTAATTCACGCTGGGTTACATGATAAGTTTTAGTGGCATATCTACTGAGCCTATAGCTGTCCTACAAACAATACACTATACACACACCAATCATGATCCTTCAGTGGGATGCTGTGTTCCTAATTCATCAGAGACAAGAATGTGGATTCTGCACAAAGTCTGTGCATTGTACATCATAAAAACTATGGTTATATTTTTCCAGCTTCTTACCTGAACATTTGGACTGTGGTTTAGCAGATCTAAATAAGGCGCTAGTGCATAAACATCTGGTTCTCTAGAGAAACATTCCCTCTGTGAATGCTTCATGTACACTGTTCTAGTATTAATGGTGCACCAAGCCCACTGCAGGGCATCGTAGTTAAAAACAGTTTCTACATTCTCAGTAAACCAAGACTGCAGAGAAGAGAAAAAAGACTTGGAAGAGGTATACAGTTCCTGGACCACTGTTCTTTGCTCCTGAGCCTTCCTTCTTAAGGGCTCAGGAAGAAGTCTCACTACTTCTTGATCCAAACAAACAGGGCACGTATAGGTCTTTGGTAAAATATCAAGATAAGGCTTCCACACAGATCGTTCACCAGCATATTTCTCTGCTATTAAAAATGTGCACAGTGCTATCAAAGGAGATATGGGAGGCTTCCACCTATTAAAAACATAACAGATACACAGAAGTGAGATGGATAAAAATACAGCCACACATATCCTTTTAATACTTGGAAATTATAAACAAATATTTTAAACTTCTTTGTAGTTCACCTGCAAATGTTTTTTCATTATTTCGAAGTGTTCTTAAATTTATTTTACTGACAAGCTGTTAAAAACTAGCTGGTAAAACACTGGATTTTGCTTAAACAAAAATATAAAATAGTCTTCTATACTCTATATCACCTTTTGTTATGAATTTGCTGAAAGGGTGCCTTCATATAGCACTTTGTGGTCTCATATTTGAATTCCTTTCTTTTAGGGCATGCACATTTAGTAATGTCAAACAAATCATTTACAATTCCATTTAAATAAGCGCCCCATCCTGCAAAACCTTACTCATTTGAGCAATCCACATGCATGCAAGTAGTCTTGTTGAGACCAATGGGAATATGTTGTGACGCTTCTCGACTCACCCAGAGCTATGAGTCACCTTGTTACCACCTGCTGCCAGCACAAAGGAGTCTTGCCTGTGCTTAACTGGGTGTCAGCTTTCTAACACAAACAGCCCGTCATTATAGCTATATTATAATGGGCTATATTAGCCCTTCCTTTGCCCTGCAGTTTCACAATAGATGCACCCCAGGCCTTGTGTCCCTTCAAAGTGTCACCCTGGGGTATTCAGCCCCTGATCACTGAACACTCACAGAAATACCAGATCCTCTGTTCCCAGAGAAACAGCATACCAGTGTACTAAATAGTAATAAGTCACCAGGACCAGACAGTATTTCACCCAAGAGTTCTGAAGGAACTCAAATGTGAAATTGCAGAACTACTAACTGTAGTCTGTAACCTATCATTTAAATCAGCTTCTGTAGCAAAATGACTGGAGTATAGCTAATATGATGCCAATTTTAAAAGGGCTCCAGACGTTACCCCAGCAATTACTGTAGCCTATAGGACTAACCTGCTTGCTTGTGTGTATATATTTTTATAGTTTAAGTATTTGGTTTATTGTAATAGGTTTATAAATTTATATTAAAGTAAGTTTGGCTGTAATGCAAGAACCTACAGGCCATATTCTGTATGTTAAGCTAAGGCAAAGTTAGCATATTTATATTAAAATCTTTTACTTAGAAAGCAAAGTTATCTATTTAGGTAACAAAATACAGGTTAAGTACCCACGCCTATGTTTATTTAAACTAATAAACAATGAAGAATGGCATAGGGGTTTTTTTTAAATGTTGTACCCACAGACTTAACAAGTACACCACAAGAGACTAATGTGCGTACATACCTGTTATGAACATGCTCATACATATTAGCCTATGGGGTGAGAGTACCCTAACACTTCTGTGGGTAAGGAATAAAATTTGGGCATAAAAGGAAGGATTTCCGGCACTTGCCCTATAAAAGAGGTAACCCACCTCAAAAGAGTATCTCCAGTTCTCACTTTACTCCATCTTCATTTTTACTTTACTTTATTTTTACTTAACTTTCTTTACTTTATTTATTTTATTTATTTACGATGACTGCTACTATTAGTAGGCTGTACTTGTTCTTCTTAAGCTTTAAATTTCAAGGGAACTAGGCTAAGCTTGGTTTCCCTGTTTTATTCTTAGTTTGTTTATTAGGTTTTAATTTAAATATGCTAACTTTGCCTTAGCTTAACATACAGAATATGGCCTGTAGGTTTTTCGCATTACAGCCAAACTTACTTTAATATAAATTTATAAACCTATTACAATAAACCAAATACTTAAGCACCGCACAGGCACTCATGGCTCCGGCGGGGAGATACCTCTCCCCAGACCCAGACCCAACCCAGCCCGGGCCTGCCACGGCCGTGGGAGAGGCGCCCCTCCCCTGACCCCAGCAGGGAGAGCCACCCCTCCCTCCCCGCAACAGCACCTGGGCTGAGGGGGAGAGCTGGGAGGAGTCCTCTCTCCCCACTGTAGCCCCAGGGCAGCCTGCACCGGAAACCCCTCATCCTCCCCCACCTCCCCGAGCCCCTCATCCCCAGTCCCACCCCAGAGCCTGCCCCCTCAGCCAGAGCCCTCATCCCCCCGCACTTCTGCCCCAGCCCTGAACCCCCTCCCACACTCCAAACCCCTCAGCCCCACACCCGCCACATGAACTTTGTTATGTGCGTCAATATGGAGGTGATGTGTCACACACCACCTCCATATTGGTGCACATAACAAAATTCATTCCGCACATGGGTTGGAAAAAATGAGAGGGAACACTGCCCCAAAGTTAATTGTCCTTACTTGCAAGCAGAGCTCTCCTCTGCTCATACACTTCTTCCTATAAATCTCCTGTCTTTGAAGATTCCACAATCCTTCATTAGCACTCAGCTCAGACTGTAAATGGATGCCCATTTTGAACCAAACATTTCTTGCCAGAAAGAAAACTTGCTTTTCACCTTTCTGGTAATCAGTCCCTAGTCACAGATCTTAAGGACTGAATTTTCAGTGTATATATAACTCCTTATACAACATCTATACATACATTTTGCAATGATTATGACGACCGGTGTGACACAAGCTTCCAGTAGAGACCTTACATGACATTATTTGGTGAACCCAGAGGATCCCTGTACCTGTTGCCATTTGGCATCAAGAGTTTCTTGGGTCACATACATGTGTAAATTAGGCTTTACAGGTTGAGGCCCTAACACAAATTCAAATGAATAATCTAACAGTGTGCGAGCACCCTATCAACATCAACAGAGGAATTTCTTAAGAGATTATCTTTCCCTCCTCCACACTTACTTTGCAATCTTTTCCCCAAGGTAGCTACTAAGGACAGTACCAGTGGTGAGCAAGCATTTCTCCGGCAACGAAATAATCACTTCCCCTGCCTTTGAGAAAAATCAAATAGACTAAAAGTCAGATTGAAAATGACCCACGGATGCACAATTCATGAGTGTAGAGAAATGTCCCAGAGCACACCAAAGCCAGGAGGCAAATGGATACAATCACAGCCTCAGGGCGGATCATTATAGTTGTAAAATTCTGGTGGTCCAGCAATGTAGGAAGTTTGTGCAGTATGTCCTGACAGAGGATAAACAGTTTCTGGGTTGGCTGGCGACTGGCTGAGAAGCATCACCTTTCCCCTTGAACAGAATACACCACACTTGGAGCGAGACCCCTTTGACAGAGGAATTTTCTACTGGGCATTTACACCCAGATTATAGCTCCTTTGTGCCCCTTTCGAACAGGACTACATTAATATAAACTAGGTACCTTTTAGTTCATGCCTGCAGTGTCCACACAGGACAGTTAAAGCATAACATTTTGGTGCCCTTTGCAATTCACACCCCATGTAGTCCACACTGCCGTGCAGAGTACACGGAGCCTTATGTTAGCATGGGGGATTCCAACTCCTGATTATAAACTGTATCGTCTTAGACTCCCCTCTAGTCTTTTAGGCTCTCCCAGGAGCCATTTTGATTAGGGCCCAGAATGTCTCCAGCTGCTCTTGCAGTACATGTAATAAAAGCCATATAACAAACAAACAAATAAATACTAACCTGAAAGGCTTTTGTGGTCATTAGGCCTCTTCCCGTATCTGAAATAGCAGGAACAAAAAGAATGATTACAATACAGTATACAATCTTAAGACTTCTCCATAAGACTACAACAAAACACTATGAATTAAAACTGGTCTGAAAAAGGAAACATGAAAATGAACATATTTCTTATATAACATAAAAACCGTTTTTAAAAGTCCCCCATGGACTAGCTGAAGCTTATGTATGGATCCTGGCCCAGATACTCAAAGGTATTTAGACACTTAACACCTATTGATTTAAATAGAAGAGAGAGGCACCTAATTACCTTTGAAGATATGGGCTCTTATTTCTCTCTCTCTCCCCCCTCCTTTCTCTAGCTTCAGTCTCTTCTCTGCTGTCTCACACATTCTTATCACTGATGAAAGCCTTCATCTCTACAGCTCCTGCCATCTGAACAATCTTCCTGCATCCCTCAGCTTCACTCATTTTTTTTCCAAATCTTGGCTTAAAAACCACTTTTTTTCTCCCCTTCTTGTGCTTCTCCCTCTTTGCTAGTTATTTTACACTCAGTGTTTTAGCTGTCACTCTGCAATATCTCTGCACAGTTGTTTCTCGATTTATACTATGTACTATCTGCTGCCTTCTAATTTAATTCTGTAAAGATTTTTGAAGATTATTATTAAAGACACACACAGTAAACAATCCATTCAAATTTGAACTATTTATTATTGTTGCTATCTGCATTCCATCTCTACATGTTGATAGGTTTAGTTAGTCTGCCAGAATGAATAAGGAAATGGTTACAAGCTTAGGTCCTGAGCCTGTAAACACTTATGCAACAGTATTTTACAAATGTGACCAGCTTCTTTAAGGCCTATGACAGCAATCCTACAAGAAGTACTACATGAGTGTACCCCACTGCCCGTGCAGAGCCCCTTTGGCTTCAGTAGCGATTTGCACAGCATAAGAACCCCCTCGTGAGGAACAGCTTGCAGTATGTGGGCCAGAGTCTACTTGTGTGAGTGAAATTATTCATGTGTGCATTTGTTTGAAGGATTTGGGTCCTTAATGTCTGTACACTGAATACTCATTCCTGAAGAAAACCAGCCAGATGGGGATAAAACCATAGTGAGAACCAGACAACCTAGGATCAATAAGCAAGTAAAGTATTACCTGAAAACTGTGCTGGTCTTAAATTACGGTCATCAAACCCCCTCTCTTTTAGCCACTTCCTAAGTTGTATATATTCCAGTATGTGACTCTGGTTTACTAAATGAAGAGAAGAGTGATTAACCTACAGCATACAGTTTAATTAAAAACATGGTGCACTTGTACTGTAGTACAGTGGCTCTCAACCTTCCAGACTACTGTACCCCTTTCAGGAGTATGATTTGTCTAGCGTATCCCCAAGTTTCACCTCATTTAAAAACTACTTGCTTACAAAATCAGACATCAAAATACAAAATGGCACAGCACACTATTACTAAAAAATTACTTATGTTTTCATTTTTACCATATAATTCTAAAATAAATCAATTGGAATATAAATATTGTACTTACATTTCAGGGTATAGTATACAGGGCAGTATAAGCAAGTCATTGTCTGTATGAAATTTTAGTTTGTACAGACTTCAGTAGTGCTTTTTACGTAGCCTGTTGTAAAACTAGGCAAATATCTAGATTAGTTGATGTACTCCCTGGAAGACCTCCGAGTACCCCTGGTTGAGAAGTACTGATGTAGTAGATTTTTACCGTATACAGAAGAATGGTCTTTTATAACATGACACACCATAAGATAGTGAAAAAGGCATCAGTTCTGTTAGGTACTGAATACCCTTAATGTCACTGTTTTCACTGGAAATTGAGGGTATTCAGCATGACCAAGAATCACTCAGCATGTTACAAGATAAAACTCAAAGAGTAATACAGTATCATCCTTCAACCAGAAAACAGAATTCACAAAGCTAAACATGGACAAAGGAAGACTGTAAGTTAAAGAATATTAAAACCAGAAAATAAAATGGTTGTTCGCATGTAACGGCTGATGTCCATGATTACTCTTGTCAAGACATGTAGAAGTTCGAACATGTACAGACTGTAGAAAGATCCCTTGCTAAGTAACTAATTATTCTGTTGCTTCCCTGAATGCAAATGAAGAATAGATGAAAACATACAGTACCTCCATTTGAAGGCAAACGACTAAATTGTTTTCTTCTTCTCTTTCTACTGGTCCGACCTCTATTTTTCCACATGGTAAGAAAAACTTCACCTTAGGTATACAACCTGAACGAAAAATGGGAAAACAGCCAGGTTCTTTTTTGATATTTCTTTCAGTTCTTGCATATAGAAGATTACTCATTCCAAACTTTTACAAATATACACAAAAGAAATTAAAGTTCTTCATATTCAACATGCTTCAGCTTTTCATCTCAGAAAACGCAGGACACACAAGCACTTGAATGAGCAATGCGAGGAGAGGGAAGCAAAAAGCTTCCATCCCATGCTGCCGCCTTACCTAAGAACTGGTCATAATCCCCTTGGGGAACAGAGGCACTTCCATTTCTACATTTAAAAATAAGGCAGTTTCCATGCAGAAACATTATTAATTTACAGTTATCTTGATACAGTGAATAATATAACCCATATATAAAATTCACAGCAAGAACACTTAAAATAACTATTTTCAATTAAAAAGTATGAGAGAGATAAGGTGGGTGAGGTAGTATCCTTTTATTGGACCAACTTCTGTGGGTAAGACAAGCCTTCAAGCTACAACAGAAGATGGTTCAATAAAAAAATATTACCTCACCCACGTTGTCTCTTTAATATCCAGGGACTGACACAGCTACACAACCACTGCATTTAAAAGTATGAACATAACACACATAATTTACATAAATATTCCATTACCTTTGCAGTTCATTTATTCAATGAAAGACAATACTGGCATGGAAAAAATTAACATTATTCCAATAACAACCATAACTCTGACCTACAACATATAAAATATTGCATAATATACCTACACAGTTATAAATTTCAAGTAGTCAAGTTACACATATTCCTTTGATATATTTGACTAAATTACTTGTAAGCACATCTTACAGGTTAGCATTTGGTTGTTACTGCAATGTGGACAGTGACACATGACAATATGTCATTAACTGAACTGAACCATAGCTTAACTATAAGAAAAAAAATTTATAGGAATTAATGGGGGCAAGCCATACTTCAAAAAGAAGACACCAGAACAAAATGAGAAGATAGTCGATTTGGACAGCACTCATTTTGACAGTGAAAACTATCAAGTAAGCACAATATACCATTGCTGAGTGCAGGACCACCACCACACACACTATGACATAGTAACTTCTATTTCCTGACATTGGTGTTGCAACAATTTGTACAGTGGGGCTGCTGAGAGCCATTGAACAAAACTGTAAACTCTGTATATGATGCAAACCACTTCAAGCAGGGGGTGTTCCTTCACCCCCAGCACCCCGACTTCCAGCACCCGTTTCCAGGGCATAACATTTTTGAATGTGCGTGTACAGGTGTGGGTGAATTTCCCAATAAAAGGAGCATATCTTTTTAGGGGAGAGGATGACGATTCTAACACACATGAATCACTTCTTCCACAGGTCTACAGCTGTAAGCGAGAAAGCCTATGTGTGTGTGTTTTCCCCCTCCAGTTCCGGCATCAGGCCTTTTCTTAACAAATGGCTAGATCTCTAATAGCAGCACCGGTTGCATTATCAACTGCATACTGAACTGAGTAACAATATTACTTCTAGCTCCTTGGATTTTCAGAGCCCTGCGCAAGAGATTAAATAAATAACAAAAATCTCCACCACCACGGGAGACAGCTATAACAAACCCACTGTGTTCACAGCTCCGATCGCTGTCTGGAGTACCCCGGCTACATTTTCTGGTTCTTTCCTGAGTTGCCATCAGACAAAGAGCTTTAAAAAAAACCTACCCGCTAGTGCCTGTAAACAATCCCATTCAAAATACGGCCTTTCGCTTACAGCTCCAGATCTCGCACAGATAGCACATGGTAAAGCAAAAACCTCACTTACACCCAAGCCAGGCCCCAGCGGCCAGACTGCTTGCGCTCATCCCCCAGGGACACGGCTGCAGCGCAGCCGCGTGTTTCCTGCCTCCTCTCCCCCAGTCCCACCCCCAGCTCGGAGCCGCAGGCAGCCAGCAGACACACAGAGAGCTCCGCCTCCAGCTCGCTCTCTCCTCTCGCTGTTATCAGGCGGGAGAAACGTCTGCATCTGTGGGGAGAGCGCCCCGCCCTCTCGGATCGACCCTTCTGGGCTGATGCACAAACACCCTTGGACCTTAGCGTAGGAGCCTGAAGCAGCTAAAGAGGCTGAGCTCCGTAGTGCCAGAGGTGAGTTTGCAAGTTGCTTTCTTCACCCTAGCACCCTCTTCCCCAGCGAACCCACCCCCGGGGGGCAGCTTGCATAAAGCGTTCCTTGCAGCCTGCCTTTGCTTGTTACGGAGATCAGGCCGCATTTCTTGTGCAGGGCTGGCCTCAGGGAAAATGGTGCCCTGGGTGAACTTGTATTTTGGTGCCCCAGTCCACATGGGCATGGAGCCTGCCCCCTATGGCCCTTGTGAGCTCCCCCCTGTTGCCCCTAATCCCTGCCTCACCCCCCCCTCCTGCACCCCAACCCCTGTGCTGCACTCTCTTTGCTCCTAACCCATGCACCCCGCTCCTGTGCCCACATTGGGAAATGACCTGGATGCAGGGAGCAGCTGGCATTGCTGCTCGCTCTCCCCCCTCCGATGCTGCTCCTCCACACACCCCTAAGGGCTGGGGGGGGGGAGCGAGGAGTGGCGTCAGGGCTCTGTGCACTTTCCCCACCAGGGCTGCTTAAGGGAAGGACAGGAGAGCAGTAACCCATGCGGGGAAAGTGACCTGGATTCATGGAGCGCTTCGTGTTGCTCCCCCCTTCCCCTCCTCCCCCTTCCCCACAGCCTCCTAGGGGGGCACGAAGGAACGTGTGGGGAGTGTCATAGGTTTCACCAGGGCCAGTGCTACCATTAAGGCAAACTAGGCGGTTGCCTAGGGTGCCAAGATTTGGGGGTGCCAAAAAGCGGTGCCCCCAATTTTTTTTTTTTTTTACAGCGTTCCTATGCCCCCTCCCCAAGCGTGCGGTCGCCGCTCCACTTCTCCCGCCTCCCGGGCTTGCAGCGCCAATCAGCTGTTTGGCGCCGCAAGCCTGGGAGGGGAGGAGAATTAGAGCGGGGGCGGCGTGCTCGGGGAGGAGGCGGAGCAGAGGTGAGCTGGGGTGGGGAGCTGCCGCACGGCTCTCCGTGTGGGGGGCGCCTCAGG